ATATTTATTGACCTAAAAAAAGCATTTGACACAATCAATCATGAATTATTAATGGACAAGTTAGAAAAATATGGGATCAGGGGAATGGCTCTGCAATGGATTAGAAGTTATTTGACACAGAGGCGTTAATTTGTGAAGTTAGGTGAATACCAATCGAGTGAGCTGGATATTGTATGTGGAGTGCCTCAGGGTTCTGTTTTGGGACCTAAATTATTTATACTATATATTAATGATATATGCAAGGTTTCTGATTTAGTGAAAGTGGTTTTGTTTTCTGATGACACTACCATATGGGCATCGGGTGAAAACCTACAGCAACTCTCTGGACGAGTTTCACAGGAACTTGAGAAGATAACGAAATGGTGTGATAGTAATATACTATCTCTGAATCTGGATAAAACTAAATTTATGGTATTTGGGAATCATAGACTAGATAAAGAACTGCAAGTGAAAATCGGGGGAGCTAATATAGAATGAGTATATGAAATTAAATTTCTAGGTGTCATAGTTGATGACAAATTGTCCTGGAAATCTCATATCAGATATATTCAGCACAAAATAGCAAAAAATATATCGATATTGGCAAGGGTTAGATATATTTTGGACGGGAAAGCACTACACATTTTGTATTCCTCACTGATCTTACCATACTTAGAGTATGGCGTTGAAAACTGGTTAACAAGCTGTAATAATCTTTTAGTAGATTACTTGCGTGGTGTAGAACAAAATTATCTATGTAGAGATACTGCTTGCAAACCAATGTTGGTAAGATGATGTTATGGGGTAGGACTAGATAAGTCTAACTTCTTCCTACCCCGTTCATCAAGCATGTACTAGGTATAAGCAAATTGAAAATGGATTAGCATTTGTGGATATGTGTGAAATTATGTGTGTTGACATATCGACTGTCTTTACATGCTTGAAAGAATAAATCAAATCAAAAATCAAATCAAAAGGTCAGCAGACCTTATAACAGCACAAACACGACCCACCACCCCCTTAAACTACCAAGTCTACATTTGTATTTCTAGCAAGTAGTAAATGGCCTCACATGTGATTGAAAAACTGAGAAACTTCCGTCATTTGGGTTGGTGAAGGTTAATAATGGGTATGGTGGATTTTTTTCCCCTCTCTCTCTCTACAGGGCACAAGCTGAAAGGCAAAACGTCAGCGGGCATAACTTATAAAATCCACGGTGGTTGCTGGGTAATTACCCAGTCTCTCAGTCAGCACTTTTCAATCAAAGCCTTGTTATTTATGGCCGACTGAAACAAACACTAAGGTAGGCTTTGTTTTGCCCTTGAGTAAGACACTAAAATCCCCAGTTACTGCCATCAAATATTTAGTCCCTCAGATGAAATCCATAAATCAGTGCTAATGAATCCAAGTCAGACAATCTGAAGTGCTGATACCAAGGCAATACCACGATGATGACAGAACTAGATTTTCAGTCCCTGCGTGTTTCACAGAAGCCACACTAGACTTTAGTTTTGATACCACAAGGAGCATACACCTTATTTGGATAAGGATTACTCGGTTAGCTCTGTGGCTTAACGGCACTTCAGGCACTAAATGCTTATTCAGCAGAAGCAGCGCAGATCTATGGAGCACCAGGTAAACTAATTGTCTGTAAAGCCAGTGTCTATTAACATTAATCTGCTTAAAAGAAGGTCGACTAGCTAATAATGAGCTTGAGAAAACATCCAGACAAGAATGATGAACTATGAAGAAAACACCCGTTGACAACGAGAGACAAATGCAGTCATCCACCCAAACTAAACAATCTACTCCTTCATGTTACGCGAAGTATACATTCTCAACTATGCAGTGAAAAACCGGAATTATAAAGCACCTCCTAACGCAATGCCAACCAAAGTTCATTTGCTGCACAAGACATTAGCTTAAGATGAAAAAATGTAAGAAATAATTGACATATGCTGCTTTGATGTGCCCAAGCTGATTCATGTGCAGTTATAGTACACAGGTTGTATTGTGACATGGCGCTGCCACCAGCCCTAATGATGTGTGGATGAGACAGCACAGATACTGTATACTCACACACATATACAGAAGCCCTGTATTTTTCACATCCACTGGCCAAATCCAATTTGTCAAGACCCTTCTACGACTCACTTACGAAGCTGCGGTCAATGGAAATCACATTTCCGTGATTGGACATCCCATTATCCTGTTCATCCAGACCCACATTGGGGGATAGAGCAGGGCTGAGACGGATGCCCAGGACAGACCAGAGCTGCGGCTCCAGCGAGTCCGTCGCCTTTCAGAGGGTAAAAGCCTGAAATTTTAGTCATAAGTGTTCTTTAAATTCATTATCATCTTAACACGCCAGCGGCACAAGTGTCGGGGGAGGGAAAGCCCTCTTAAACAAGGTTAGTGGATCCATTTAAAGCTTCACAGTTGCTGTGTCACACGCAAGTCTCAAGAAATGAAAAACTTCCCCTCCCATAATGAGGCTGCACAAGCTGCTTATAATGCAGCTGGGGACTTTGAGGTTAATCAATGAACAGCTTTTGCATTCTATCTGTCCAGAGACTGACTGATTTCTGAATCATGCAAGTTTGTTTATGTGCATACTGAGTGTTATACAAACCAGATTCCAGATTAAGGATGTCTTAATTTCTGTTATTTTACATGGGACAAAGTTTTATAAAAGAGGTAAATAAAAAACATAACCCAACTTTTTAATTTCTGTTTGTGTGTGTGTGTGCCTGTCAGTGAGTGGCAGTGCTCCTCAGAGCCCATTTGATTCAACTTAATGAGGTGACCTTAGTGTAACCCCACATGTATGTGTGTTTGCATGTATAAAAATGTGAGCACAATTATTGACTTCAATCAAAACAGGCTTTTAGGAGATGCAGTCCACATTCTTTTGACAAATCTAATCTAATTCGTGTACAACTCCTGAGCACTCTTCTCTCCCCATTACTGTGAATATTTTCAGTTTTGACAATTAGTCAGCCATTTACTGATTCACACTAAAAGGCAAAGTGTAAATTACATGAATAAACCACCATCATTTCTGAAATCATTTAAGCTGTATTCCTAATTCATACCAGTTGTATTATTATTATTATTATTATTGTTATGGATTGATGCAAACTACTTCTCAAAAATAACAGTGATAATATTGAAACAACATATTCCTGTTAAGCATTTTCATTTCTTCCCAATTTGATGGAAAACAAGTAGGATGAGGATCCAGAGAAAATGCGTTTTTACTATTCTGAAATGTTTCTGAGGAGCATTCACTACTTCCTCTGATTAATCTTAGTCTCTCTCACCAAACCTGTTTTCACTTACTTCATACCCACAGCTCTGTCTTTTTTTAACTCTTGATCGAGCAGCAAGAACAGATGCACATAAAAATGAACGTTGATTCTACAGCTAGTTCATTCATTTCAAATTCAAAACGTTCCTCACACTTAAGCTGAAAAAGTGCAATAACATGACATGAAGACATAACTAAACATTATGATTAAGCTGCTCTCAAGCACAGCACAGGATGGGGTGAAGCAGACTGTGGTGACTCAGGTGACTCAGTCTTTCAAAATCAAGTCGAGACAGATACACAGAGACTTGGCAGCAGGAACAAAACGCAAACCAACAAACCAATTAACACTTTCCAAGCTCAGCACAAATCCCTCCATTAGACATCTCAAAGCAAACGCCATAAAAAGATTTTTTTTTTTTTGAAACACAGGTCTTTGGCTGTTCACCTCAAAATGAGCCTTTAACACCTCAAAATCTCATTTGATGAAAATACCACACACACAACTGAGGTGCCATCCGCTTTTAGAGGATCTAAAGAGAAGTAAACAAAATGGACGACATTACTGGTAATTATTTGTTACAAAAGTGACACCTCAGATTCTCACATGGCATTGTCTTGTGATTTCATTACAAAATATAAGCATTTTGAGGTACAGTCAAAGCCTACACATTTACAACACAATGAATCAGTGTCAGTCAAACAGCAAAAGTTAAAATAAATAAATAAATAAATAAAAATTGTAAAAGGTTGGGGATTGAAATCTGATATAAGAGTGACCCTCACCTCTTTCTCATGATACTGTAATGCAAGTCGTCCTCCTGCTTGATGTGGGCATGATCCCCACTAGCCCGTTCACTGCCTTCACTGTCGTCACTGCTGAAGATAGAGGCCAGCTCCTTCTTGGGCACCCGGTTTGGGGGAAGGGGGATGGTGCGTTTCTCAGCCAAGCGCCCACGATTCTGCACCCAAGCACAACATAGCACAAAGAAAAGCAGACACTTTAGTAATAAGATTTACTATTCCTAGACACTAAAGTGCTCATCCAGGTGCATGTCTCTTTTTTTTTAAATTGCAACTTGCTGAACTTTATTTTTAATGTACAGACAGAATGAATCAAGACTCCAAAGCAAAGCTTTTCTAGTTTTATTTTGCAGTACTGACTGCCTATTTTGTGTTCTGTTATATTGATAAAATCAGTAATTCCCAACCAAGTGTTTGCACACTACAGGAGGTGCTGTTAGAGCTGCAAGAGTGGATGTGGAAAGATTGTGTAGTAGTTTGATTAATTAATAAAAAAAAATAAAAAAAAGAAATTTCAATTTGATTATATATACACACACACAGTACACATATTGTGTCAGCTGTAAGATCTGAAGACAATGCGTTTTTAAGATCAAAAAGACATTACAACTAATTAGCTTTGCTTTGGGAACTATTCTTTTACTGTGAGAACACTATGTGTAATTTGAAACGCATATAGCTAATGAGCATTTTTGCCATCAGTCTTTACTAACTACCCCATTAGTCCAAATTGAAAACCTATTTAGAAAAACAATAGCACAATAAACAATAGTAAATCAGGCCCGTTGCTGTGGCACTCCATACTGTGGTCTGGTGCACCCCGTTTGCTTTAACTGGCGTCCACCTGTGGCAAACTGAATTGACTGGACATGGTTTAGAAATGTACACACCTGTGTATGCAAGATTCCACAATTCATACTGTATGTCAGTACAAACTGTTAACCATGAATCCCAAGGAACTCCTATAGACTTCCATGATAAAATTCTGTGGTAAGGCATAAATCAGAGCATGATTATAAAGCTTTTTCTGGAGTACTGTAGCCTAATAGTGAAATTGAAGAAGTTTAGACCGACCAGAACTCTTCCTAGAGGGAAAGAAGGCCCTTGGTCATGGAGGTGACCAAAAACACAATGGCCACTCTAAGCCCACGTTCAAACTGAGCTTCAAAGGTATTAAAAAACACAACTCTCCTTATTCATTTCTTTGGGCGATTGCATTCACCACAGCTGGCACAGCACTGCAGGGGGCTCCAGAGCTTCAGAAGGCCTCTGTAGAGATGGAAGAACCATCTCAGTAGCTCTCCATCTATCAGTGAAAGCCATATGACAACCCACCTGGGGTTTGCCAAATGACATTCAAAAGACTCTGAGCACACGAGGGGAAATACTGTCTGGTCTGATGAGACAAAAAAATTAACTCTCTGGGCAGAACTCCCATCCCTACAGTGAAGCATGGCGGTGGCATCATCATGCTTTGGGCGTGCTTCTCAGCGACAAGCACAAGGGAACTGGTACAGAACTGAGGAAAGGATGAATGCATTCAAATACAGAGAGGTACTTGAAAAAAAACCTACTCCAGAGTTCACTTGACCAGAGACTGGGAGACGCTACCCCTTTCTGTCCTTGAGTGGCCCAGGTAAGGCACAAATGTAAAACTCCAAAGAATATATGTGGAGAGACCTAAAGATGGTAGTTCAGACACTTCTGATTCATGAGTTTGAGAGGATCCAGGTCTCTAAAGCTTGTAAACACTCACCAAAGAGGACCTGAAGCTATAATTCTGGCCAAAGGGGCTTCAAAAAATACTAAATTAAGGGTCTGAATACTTTTGTCAATGAGAAATTTCAGATCTTATCTTTAATAAATTTGCAAAAGATTCTAGATATATGTTTTCACTTTGTCATTGTTGCGGGCTATTGCAATTTTATGCATTTCAAATAAAATTTACTGAAGGAGCTGAAAGCAAATATAAACAGCTAAATGTAATGATAAACCACTGTTAATATATGTTGTGCATATATATACATATATATATGTATATGTTGTGATCCTGACTTTTACAGTCATTTTGGTTTAAATACATCGCTACAAGTAATGAATACACACTGAATTGCTAACTAATGCATAGGAAAAACATCGTATATATAGTAAATTACCTTTATGTAATAAATAGTGTTAAATAAGATGAGGCTTGAAGCCATTTTAAAAATGATATCCATTGGAACTGAAGAAAAAAAAAATCACAAAAAACTGAACCACTCAATCACAAAATATTGTCTTAAAATATTTTCAGCAAATTCAAATTCATTTACAAGCTTACAACAAAAACTGGTTAAGTGGCAACAAAAGAAATGTCAGTTTATTGTAGCTGGTACCCGTGAGCCAAACTGAAACCAAAACAACCTAATCTGCAAGACTGACATTCAGCCTCCAGCCAGATATCATCAAGCTGTGTGAACTCTTTGTGAATAAATTATAAACTAATAGTGAAAAAACCATCCAGTGCTCTATGTTAGGTCAACTGGGTATGTGTGCAGTCTTTTTAATTTCTTTCAACAGCATCAAACACAGAAGAATCCATTTGTATCATACTTTTCTACTCCAACACCAAACTGATGGAGTACACAAAAGTTGGTGGGTGCACTGAGGATTTTATTTTTCCAAAGCTGCCAGGAGTAAGCAGAGAAAAGAAGAGATAAAGAGGAAACGAGGAGAGCGTGGCCCTGGGGCGTTTGAAAGTGAAGCTGGGTGACCTTTAATGTGACCTCAAGAGGTCACTGCAGATTAACATGGCTCTATCACAGAGAGATGGGACAAGGGAGCAAAAGAGGGGAGAGAGGAGCAGAGGAAGAGTAGAGAGATGGGAGTAGTGAGAGAAGAGGCTGAACCAGGGGAGGAAACTGGAGAAGAGCAAGGGGAAGACAGGCTGAAGAGAAAAGTTAACAAGGAAGAGAGAGAGAGCAGATGTGGATTTGTACAGGACAGAGAAAAGAAAAGCTGAGAAAAAATACAGAAATGAAAGAGAATGTGGTGAGTCCAAACATAAGAGAGGCAAGGTCTGCCCAGTGTGGGAGAGTGGACTTGGATTTCAAACTGTATTCCACTCTCTATCTAGGCCTGTGCCTACATCTCTTACTCCCGGACGCCTTCAAGCCCTCCAGCTATCCCTTCCACCACACACAAGCCTGCTCTCCACCAGTCCTCCCTGCTTCCATCCCAGGAGGCGTGGCAACTTGAGTGGCAGGCGGGGGCAGGAGGAGGGATCTGGGGGCTGCTAGCCAAGAGGCAAACAGGTGCAGCCCCTCTGGAATCTATCAAATGGCAGACATTAAAAAGTGTTGGGAGGGGGAAGTCAGAGAAAGATGAAAACATCCCCTAGGATGAGCAGGCCACAAAGTTCTGCTCACGCCTCTCTTCTGTTTATTCCTTGAAGAGAGATTTTTTTTTCCTCCTTTCTTTTTTCTGTTGGAGCTCTGTACAAGTTCTGCTCCAGCGTTTGAGCACAGTGCATCACTTTCTGATACTCTTGCTACCTCCACCCAAGGCTTCGCTGTGGGATGTTAGTGCTGAAGCCTCAACAGGACAGTGAAACATCACAACAGAACAACACTCATCCATGAATGCAACCCAGTCAGATCTGTCAGGCACCCACACCAGTTAAACACAATTTCTCCACCTCCAACTTTATTTATCGATCCCCTCACATCGTCAAGGAAAACACACGTGCACATGCACCACACATGCACCTGTTCCTTAGAATTCCCTTCCAAAGCAGGGTGTTTTACTTGCAGCATGCCAGCAATACAGTGCATACAAGAACAGTTTGTCTATGAACAGTCGTGACTGTGGCTGTGTGTGCCAGTGTGTAGACAGCCACCCACATGGCTGTGACATACCCAGGCTGACAGTCCCCCACCCTCCCTTCGCCTCCTCCCGGAAAGCCCCGATCCTTTCTTTAGTGGCACTGACGCAGAACTGGGGGTGAGCTCCCACTGCTTCCGGCAACACTTCCGCAGCACGGGGGAGGGCTCTCCGAAACAAAACACAAAGCAAAACACACCTCTGGCAGCCCACGTAGGGGCGCTCAAAGGAAGGGCGCCTGAACATTCACGTTCATACGTACACACACACACAAACACATGCCTGCATGCAGGGCTGAGGCAACCTTACTGTGTGTGGTCAACCTCCTTTCAGCCATGGAAAAAAGTCTCTCATAAAAGTCCCACTAAAAGCACCTCTATGAATACCGCCTCCCACGCTTTCTGTCTGACAGCCAGGCAGCCAAGAAATATATCTGTGCTTCACATTAACATGCTAGAAATACAAAAGACACAGATGTACACATGCACATGCATTAGGACACACTGACTAACAACAGACAATTATAATGGTCTTGTGAGGACATAAGTGTTCAGTAACACTCCCTATAAACACACACTTCGTTCACATTCATATATTAGTAGGATACATGAATTCTTCAATAAATACAACATGATCCGAAATACTAGAAGTTGAACTGCAAATGTTTTAAGATTGAAATGTGAGTTAGATGTTGTGAGTCCCAACAGAAAGGGTGAACAGTAGTGTAGGTGTTCGTTATACTTATGTAACCATAGGTCAGATAAACAGAGATGCAAGTAATCTACCAGACAGAGCAATAAAAAGATTTGACATTACAGTTTATTGTGTTCCATCTTTGTGCATTATACATCTAAATCAGCCAGTTCTTAGGCCAAAGGACCAATGTGATAACTGTACAGCAAAATCTCTTGCATATCGCACCTCTTAAAATAAATTTTCACCTAACTTTTCAGTTACTGAATATAGACTTAAGGAATTTCTAGTGTCTTCTTAGTTTTTCTATATTTTTAGCAAGTTGCACTATTTTGGGATAACATGATTTTAGCATGATTAGAACTTCAATTGATTTAATTTGGAAAGTGGATGAGATTTGATATGTTCAACATTAAATGGTTTGCAGTGAACCAATAATGTAAACTGGCCTTAGTTAATAGCCGCATATTTTACACTGCCTTCCAAATTTTCAAGTCCACCCGAGGTTTCAGGGGAATCGAATTCTGTTTATTGTGTTGGGCTGAGACTTACCCAGGTACTGGATACACTGTAGTAATTTGGTTCATTAGATTACTGAAAACAA